TTTGCATTTTCTTTCAAGCAGTGTTAGGGACTCAGCCGAGTTACGTAGACTTAGGAAAGGTGCCGAGTCCCTAAGGAACTCGCTAAACTTGAGCAGCTCCTGTATTTTGATTATTATTTTCTGCACAGACTCGACTGGGTCTTTATGGACAACTTGGACTTGGGACCCTGCAGGAGCTCGAGTCAGAATTGTCTTCTAGAACATCACTTTTAAGAGATGATGGAGATACTATGAAGATGGGAATGGTTATAAGTATTTTGGGTAGGGAAATGCAGGGGACTTAATATACTTCAAAATCATTATTGGATGACAACATACTTTGAAATCACTTTTTGAAAGGAAAAAGTTTATATAGAGCCGAGGCTCTAAACATTCAAATTAGAGTCTAACTCAAGAAATTTACTAGAAGAGGTTGTTTTGATGCTCAAATATCCTAAATAAACTCATTGGAAGAGGCTGTCAAAAAATGCGCTAGTTGATCATCTTGACTTCGAGATGCATGGATGTGAAAAAAGAAAAAAGATTTTAAGTATTAAAAATTGTACATCTTGTAATGTATCATCTGGACTCTCCATACCAAGATTTTTAAGTGCTCGTAGATTTACTTGATCTACATCATTTTTGAAGATTTAAATTTCATAATTAGATATATAAATAGGTTTGCAAACCATCACAAGGATTTCCGGCACTCGAACTGCATCTTTTGACATCATTTTTAGGTGGTGGTTTTACTTTAATTGTTGAAGGCGTCGACCTTATACAAACCTCACCCTTTTTAAAAACTAGGTCATATTCAGATCCATATCATAAGTAGAGAAAAAAATTAGCATTCCCCTCTTGCCATTTAGCCTTTAAGTTAGTGAAGTTAGATCAGTACTAATGATTTTTGATGGAGTGAGAGTGAGAATTTCACCCCTTTACTGACCTAACTTTTACCTTCTAATGGGAAATTTATTAAACAATAGTAAGGTTAACTGTTTAACCTTAGGAAAAGTTCATATAACGCAGCAACCTAATTGTAGATGTAAGGTTGCAGCAATCTACACAATATGTTTAGTTGGATGGTATAAGATTTACATTATTATTCTTATTATTATTTTCTTTTTTAGTGTAATACGATTGAACACTATTCTAATAGACATGCAAGTATTTTAAAAGATGTATCAAATATACACCGTTCAACTAAAATATACAATGTGGAACATCAAAACTTTATTTCTACAAATAAAGCATATATAAAAAAAAATGTTGCCAACTGAGGACTAGCCATATAGGCATCAAATTGTATTAAAAAAAGATTCTTCATCATAAACCATTCATTGGAGCCCACATCAAAAATTTCACTAGATGAGGTTGTTTTGATGTCCAAATATCCTCAAATTGATCATCTTGACATCAAGATGCATGGACATGAGAAAAAAATGGATTTTGAGCTTTGGAAATAGTTCATCTTATAACGTATTTTTGGATAATCAATTTTCAATATTTTTTCAAGTTTTCATAGATCTGTTTGATCTACACTATTTTTTAAGCTTTTAAATTTTATAATTAAAAATAAAAATATATTTTAAGACTATCACAAAGATTTTCAGTATTAAAACCACATTTTGCGATACTATTTGGTTTACTTTGATTGTTTAGAGCCTCGGCTCTAAACGGATCGCACCCTTTTTAGAATGATCTACGGTTCCTATGCTTCTTTTAAATATTTTTTAACTTCATATATTTTATTTATATTCATTTGCTTTTTTTCTTTCTCTTGTTTTTTATTTTAAGTTTGACGAAGTAACTGAGCCGAGTCACCGACTCGACCAATTCTACCTAGAACCTAATAATGGCCTCCTTGTATACAACTCCTGTACTGTGATCATGTGTGTTTTCTAAAATTTGCTTTATTATTGTTTAGAATATTTTGTTGAATTTCCTTGGAAGCATCTTATAGATCTTTAGAGAGAGGAGAGATTTTCATCCAATCCCTTTAAAGAGCTAGAGCCCCTGCTCAGCGCACACAACCAGCAATGCATATCTCCGATCTGATCAAGAAAACCCCAACTCCCCACCTAATCAAAACCCTAAAAAACCAGAAATCCTCCCCAAATTGGACACCCCAACTCATAACCCAAACCCTAAAATCTCTCTGGAACGATGGCCCCAAAGCATTCCTCCTCTTCACCCATCTCTCCAAAACCCATCAATCCCTAACCCTGGAATCCTTCGACCTCATCATCGACATTCTCGGACGAATGCGCGATTTCAAGAAACTATGGAGCCTGGTCTCTGAAATGCCGAGACATGGCCTCCATCCCTCTCATAAAACCTTTGCCATAATCATGGAGCGATATGTATCAGCTGGAAAAGCAGATAGAGCCATCAGGGCCTTCTCTTTGATGCAAATCCATGGTTGCCCACCAAATTTGCAGGCATTCAACACCTTACTAGACATTCTGTGCAAGTCCAAGAGAGTAGAGAGAGCCCAGGAATTGTTCAGAGCTCTTAGACACAGGTTCAAGCCTGACACCATAACATATAACATCCTCGCAGATGGTTGGTGCATTGTGAGGAAAACCCAAATGGCAGTTAGGGTTTTTAGAGAGATGGTGGAGTTGGATCTCTCTCCTTCTCTCTCTACCTACAACATTTTGCTCAAGGGCTTCTTTAGAACAGGTGAGTTGACCTCAGCATGGTCTTTCTTTGTAGAGATGAAAAAGAGAGGCTGTGTACCTGATGCAATAACATACACCACTCTGGTTCATGGCTTTGGCATGGCTGGGGACTTAGACAAGGCCTGCAAAATATTTGAAGGGGTGAAAGAGAAAGGGTGCTTGCCCAATGTGGCAACATACAATGCCATGATCATGGTGTTGTGCAAGAAAGGGCCCCTAGAAAGGGCAAAATTGATATTTTCAGAAATGGAAAACAAGGGCTATGAACCCAATTTGACAACCTACAATTTGCTTATAAGGGCATTTAGCCATGATGGGAGGGACATGGAGGGGGCTCTAGGGCTTTTAGAGAGGATGAGAGAGAAAGGGTGCACCCCAAGTGTCCAAACCCACAATATTTTGATGAGGAGTTTTTGTGAGATAGGTGAGGTGGAGAGGGCTTTTGAGGTATGGGAGAGAATGGAAGGGGAGGGGTGTTTTGGTAATTTGGACTCTTACAATGTCATGTTGAGTGCATTGTGTGTGAATGAGAGGAGAGAGGAGTTTTTGAGGGCTGGAAAAATGGTGGTGGAGATGGTAGAGAGAGGTCATGTTCCTCAACGGCTAGTTTTCACACGTGTGGTGAATGGGCTTCTTCTCACTGGTAATCAAGGTTTTGCCAAGGAGCTTTTAAGGGTTCAAAGCCAATGCAAAAGACTTTGTAGAGAGATTAGGCTTTGATAACAGATTCTGGGCTTCTTCTCTCTTTCCTTTCCTTTTGGTTGTTTCCTCATTGAACTACCCAACTCAAAAAATAAAATAAAAAACACCTTCCAAATTCATATTAAGTGAGAAAAATTTTGACCAAGGAAAAATGCTCTCATGTTTTGAGGCTGAGAAGATGTCTCATGTGACCAGACATGTGTCTGGATATGTGTCTATAGTTGTTAGCATGTGTTGATGCACTCAAGATATGATATGACACTTCAAGAACTTCCCATTGTTTATTTTCCTCTCGCACTCCTTTTTAACCTTTCCTCTTGAAATTTCCTGGTAAAATGTTGAGATTTTATTATAAATACACCTAATGTCAACTGAAAGCCTATATTTTTTTTATTTTTTTTCAAATGATGTAAAAACATGTCATATATTTATTTTTTGTTTTTTGAATGATGTACGAACATGCCATTCTGAAAGGACAATTTATGGTTGATATGCCTAACAATTGTATCTGTGTCAAAACACTGACACGCATAACATCTCTTCATTACATGTCTCTCATACATATCTTTCGGAATGACTCGACAACTTTGTAGAGTGGGATGGGATGTGACAAAGGGAGGTATAAACCGCTAAGTACTTGCATTCGGTACGAAGTAAGATCTCGTGATTTTGTTGGTGTATATAACCCTTTTCTCTCCTTCTAACATACAGTTTAATGGTAATCAGCATAACAATTTTTCCCAACTGTTTCTTCAAAGTCCATTGAAGTAGCCAGTTTTTCACTGATTGTATCGTATCTAAAGAAAAGGAGCAACCGAAAGGAAAATAAGGAAAGAGAGACAAACGAGGAAGATGGACAGGCAAAAAGAGACTCTTGAGTTGAATGATACACAATAGGAAAAAAAAATCCGCGGATCTTTCAAAGAACAATGCATGCACACCCTCACACACGAACACAACACAAAATCAGCAGAAAGATCCACTTCCTCTTCATACAATTATACAACTCCTCTCTCTCTCTCTCTTTCTCTCTCTTATCTAAGCCTCCAAATCTGTCTCCTTTCTAAGACCCATGAATCCACCATAATGTGACCCATTCATGGCCCCGTATAACTGTCACGGTTTTTGAGCCACCGGATGAGCTAACAATGTACAGTTTCCGGTGTTATCAAGAAAATAAGGGGTTCTTTGCTAGGTCTTCTCTTCATGCTCTGTTCTTCCGGACATTGAAGCGGGACCCATGTCCGGTCTCTCCACTGAGCGTATCCTGTATTTCTCATAAACCCTAGCTCTATTCTCTGCCCACCATTTCTCTGCCTCCCGTTCACTGAATCTTTTCCGGCTGAGAAAGAATTGACAGTAATGAGAGTGACCACTTATGTAAAGACCAGGAGAGAGAGAGAGAGAGAGAGAGAGAGAGAGAGAGATTATTCCTTTTTCTTTTGGAAAAATTTTCAAGGGGGAAAATATGCCTTTATCCAATGGAGGACACTAGGGAATTATCTGGGGAAGTGTTGCAGTAGAGGTTCTATGGAAAACGACTTTTATCATTACGTGGAAAGAAGGGAGAGATAATACAATATATTTCATTAAGGTAATCTCTTCCTCATAAAAAAAGAAAGAAATTAACAGTTAACATCTTCAAAAAAAAAAACAAAAAAAAGAAATAACAAACTGTCACTACTTGGAAGGTGTCAATTGTTAGGAGGTTACTGTATACTTGACAAAAGAGTATATTTTACACTGCTACATGAATAATTCAACAAAGCTTTGTGATTCATAAGGGGTGTCATCACCTAAACGTAAGACCATTAGCATTCAAGGCCAAGCACAAAGGAGGAAAAAAAAGACAAAAAGACAAATGAGAAAGAAAAAGATAGATCTATTCTTTTCAGTTTTGGTCTGTTGCGTGGCAACACCAAAGTTACTTAGTCATGCTCCACATTTCTAGTATTAAAAAAAATAAAAATCTCAGGTATTGTGACCTGTATGGTCATGGTATGAATATGGTTATGAGGGTCATTACTGTCCAGTGAATATGTTCAGATGGTGATAGAGGTAAAGTGGGATTTGAATTCATGAAATGTTAAGCGAGATCCACAACTGAAATCAGTACGTACCTGAACCGAACCCGCTTGAGATCCTTTGCACCTCCAGGTAAGGAGGTGAGAGTGATGTAAACACCAGGCTCATCTTGTTCCACCCACTCACCCAAAGCAGGTGCTTTGTTTTCATTGCTTGAGTGCAAATTGCTTGAGCCGTTGGAGTCGGCATCATCGTGGGCTATTGCACTGCTCAGATGATTCTCATTAGAAGTGAGACCCAGATTATTGCTAGTGTGAGAGGAAACAGAAACTGGTCCATCAATTTTCCCTTCTCCTAGCCTTTCAGCCATGTCCTTCAACTGCCAATACCCAAATTGTTAACACGTTTTAGAAACTTAGAGCTTCCATAATGCATTGACAGTAATTATTCAAACGGGTATAGTAACACTGAATCAAATTGTTATATAAGTCGAACGCAATAAATGATGGTTGGAGAGGAGTAATTGTACACACAATACTTAAACCAAATTAAAAAGGAAAAAGAAGAAATTTACGTGGTTCTAAAAGTCATCAATTCAATTTGTCATAAGGGAGATGGATTTAAGTTAGAGCAGAATGGCGGACCAGGATTCGTATAGCCGACCCCAATTAATTGGGAAAAGGCTAAGATGATGATGATTATGATTTTGGTATACCTAAAGCTATTGAATGAACATATACTTTGGACATGCCTTGACTTTTTTATATTCTAGAAATCTATGAGAAAAGAACAAATACAAAATGGGGCAGATTAGCTTGATCTTGGGACAAACGCCAAGGTTAAAACCTTGACATTCCTCATCCAAACTGATGTTTTGCCACTGGGCCAAAGACGAAGGAACCAAGAAAGCCAAGACTAAGCAAAGCCAACAACTACATATCTTGAATTCATGACGAGACCTCACGGAACCACTCTATATTATTAGACAATTTTCAACTACGAGCAGGATTAGAAAACAAATTCAATGACCAATAAATGCCAGAATCCTGTATCAACAGTAAATAGAACTTCCAAAGAAATCATGTACAGAAGCCCATGTGATATAACACTGTCTACAAAAATGGTGATATAGGTGGTGACTTAAATGTCACTCCAGGCTATCGCCTGAGTGCCCCCCTCGACTTGGTGTATAGGTGGTGACTTCAATGTCACTTGACTCTCTTTCTAGCGGAATTCCAGTCCCAGAATCTCCCCCTCAATGACCGGCTTTTCTGATTTTATAGCCTGGAACCAAGTTCTTGATGTGCCTCTTCAAGGAGCCCATTTCACCTGGTCAGACCACTCAGAGGCTCCTACCCTGTCCAAGCACAATCGCTACCTCCTCTCCCTGGATTGGGACTCCTCTTTTTCCAACTCTCATTCCTTGGCCCTCCCCAAGCTGACTTCTGATCATAGGCCCATTCTGCTCAACACGGAAGCCTCCAAGCTAGGTCCCAAGCCTTTCCGCTTCGAACTAGCCTGGTTGGAGGAGCCTAACTTTCCCTTGCTCATCACTTCGTAGTGGCAATCCGTCTTCCCTCTCGCACTAGGGTGGCTGGGCTTTCGGGTTCATTGTAAGCTTCGATTGCTGAAGTCTGCCCTCAAGGTGTGGGGCGGCACCATCCCAAGAAACTTCCACCTCCAAAAGCAGCCCCTCCTTGAGTCCATTAACCACCTCGACTCCCTTGAGGAGTCCTCTCCTCTTTCCCATGCTGAAATTAATCAGCGCCTTGAAGCTAAACTTGGCCTCCAATTAGTTCTTCACAAGGAAGGAATCTATTGGGCCAAGCGGTCTAGGGTCAAGTGGTTAAAACTTAGTGACCTCAACACCGCCTTCTTCCACAAAATAGCAAATTGCCGCAGGTGCGCCATTTCCCTCATCAGAGTAGGTAATCAGCATTCCGAAGATAAAGAACTCATCATAAAGGTCATAATCGATTTCTTCAGGAATTTTTTCAAGGCGCATATTGGCCTAAGGCCTGTTATGTCATTCCTCAACTTCAGATCTCTTCCCCATGACAAAGCAGTTTGGTTAGAGTGCCCTCGCGAAGAAGAGGAAATCCTTATTGCTATCAGTTCTTTAGGCCAAGAGAAAACCCTTGGCCCGGCTGTCCAATAGCTTTTTTCTACCAGTTTTGTGATATCCTTAACGCTGACCTTGTGGCTGTCTTTGCTGATTTCCATAACAGTAGGGTAGTAAACAAGGCCATGAATGCAAATTTGCTTGCCTTAATCCCCAAAATCGAAGGTGCGGAGGAATTAAAAGGCTTTGGGGCGACTGGTATAGTCAACAGTTCCTACAAGATCCTCTCCAAGGTGCTTGCCTCTAGAAATCAAGAAGTACTTGGATGGGTTATCTCGCCCACCCGAGGTGCCTTCCTCAAGGAACGTCAAATTCTCGATGGTGCCCTCATTGCTCATGAATGCCTTCATTCCTGACACTTGGCTAAATCCCCGGGTTTGGTCATTAAGTTCGATTGGGAAAAGGTGTGTGACCATGTCGACTGGGACTTTCTAGAGTATACTTTATTACAAATGGGTTTCGATTGCCATTGGCAAAGTTGGATGAGGGGGTGAGTTTCCTCGCCATCCTTCTCAGTTATCATCAACAGTACTCCCAAGGGCCACTTCCAAGTTTCGAGGGGATTCCGGCAAGGGGATTCCCTTTCGCCTTTTCTCTTTGCGATTGCAGCCGTGGTGTTTAGCTCCTCTCTTGCGGGCTTGTATCGAGACGGTCTTGTTAAGGGTTTTCAGGCGAGCTCTAGAGGGCCTACTATTTCCCACCTTCAATACGCCGACGATACCCGTCTTTTTTGTGACACCCACCAAAATTAGGTTGAATACCTCTGTCTCTTCTTAAGATGTTCCAATGCGCTACGGATTTCAAAGTGAACCTTGCTAAGACCACTATGATGGGGAAGCACTAAGCATCGAATTGGTTTCTCAGTTCGCCAACCTTTGGGGCTGCAAAGCGCAATCGCTCCCCTCCTCTTACTTAGGATTACCTCTGCGTATCGGCAAACCCAAAGCTAGTCAATGGGCCCACATCATTGCTAAGTTCAATAGGAGATTTGCAGGATGGAAAGGTAGATTCTCTCTCCAGCAAGGAGACTAAGGCAACCCTCTCGAGCATCCCAATCTACCAAATGTTCATTTTCTTGATACTCAGCCTCTGTGTCTACCTGCCTTCAGCGACTTATGAGAAACGTCCTATGCTCGGGTCTTGGAGAAAAGAAATACCATCTTATAGCATGGGAAACAGTTTGCACTCCAGACCGCCTAGAGAAATTGGGGTGCAAACTGTTTCTCTTGCTATAAGATGATATTTCCTTCATTCAATACCTGACCATAGGAAGTTTCTCATAAGTTGCTCAAGGCAGTTAGACATAGAGGTGGGGATCAAGAAAATGGACATTTGATAGATTAGGATGCTCGAGAGGATTGCCTTGATAAGTGTTAGTCTCCCCACCGAGAGAGAAATCTACCTTTCCATCCCGTAAATCTCCTATCAAACTTATCAATGATGTGGGCCCATTGACTAGCGAGGTAATCCTAAGTAAGAGGAGGGAAGGGATTGCGCTTTGCAGCCCTAAAGGTTGGCTAACTGAGAAACCAATTCGATGCTCATGGCTACCCCCATCAAGGATTAGCATTGAGTCCATACATCTTTGTCTTAGTTATGGATGACTTAACTAGGCACCTACACGATGAAGTACCATAGTGCATGTTGTTCTCAGATGACAAAGTTTTGATAAATGAGACTTGAAACAACGTCAACATAAAGTTAGACCTTTGGAGGGGTGCTCTAGAATCTAAAAGTTTTAAAATTAGTTGGACTAAGATAAGAGTATATGAAATGCAAGTTTAGTAATAATAGAAGTAGAAACGATAAAGTAGTTAAGATTGACGACCAAGAAGTACAAAAAAGATCAAACTTTCAATATCTTGGGTCGATAATCAAGGAAAATGGAGAGATTGAGGAAGATGTCGCACACAGAATTAGAGCTGAGTGGGTGAAATGGAGATGTGCAACTAAAATTTTATTTGATCGCTGCATATCAACAAAGCTGAAGGGCAAGTTCTATAAGATAGCTGTGAGACCAGCTTTGCTCTATGAGGCGGATTGTTGGGCAGACAAAAAATAATATACCCAAGAATGAGTAGCAGAAATGAGGATGTTAAGATTGGTGAGTGACAAGACAAGAAGGGATAGAATTCGAAATGAATCCATACGGAAAAATTTTGGTGTGGCACCAATAGGCGATAAGATGAAAGAGTAGACTTAGGTGGCTGGCCATATGTGGCACCAACCCAGTTCAACACCTGTTAGGAGGTGCGAGTTAGTTCAACTGAAAGGATTGAAAAGGGCGAAGGGTAGGCCCAAAAGGATGTGGTTGGAAGTAGTCCGAAAAAATATAGGGACTTATGGCCTCATTGAGGGTATGACCTTTAATAGAACAAAATGACGGACTAAAATTCATGTAGCCGACCCCAATCAATTGGGAAAAGGTTATGATTATGATGATGATGATCTGGGCACCCGCAATAACAGAGCCACCAATGTAGCTCTCATTGGTAAATGGTGGTGGGGATTGCTGTCCAAAAGGGCCATCTATGGCAAGAACGCCTAAAGTCTGTGGAAGGGCTTCCTATCATGCCTTCATTGTTTCGACGCCAATATTCGCTTCCGACCAAAAGAGGGTAACTGGATAGCATTTTGAACGGATACCTGGATAGGTTATTCCGTCGTTAGGGAGACTTATCCTTCTCTCTTCTGTTTGGATTGCAATTCCCATTCCTCAATTGCCGAAAATTTTGAACCATCAGCTCGCGGAAGGATTTGGTCTCCCATTTTTAGAAGGCTTCCTAACGGCTCAAAAATGGCCACCTTTCTCGAGTTGCAAGCCATTTTCCTTCCTCCTTTCTCCCTTCTAGTGACAGTGACAAAATTGTTTGGACCATAGTTCGCAAGTCGGGGAATAACAATATATCGATTCACCATAAAATTGGAAATAAATCGTTTTTATTTTAAAAAGTCGGATGAAAAAATTGGGTCAAAAATACGGATCGACAAAATACTTTATGTAAAAATATCACAAATATAACGGATTAGACTCAAAAAATTGGAGTAAAAAATAACGATAAGTTTAAAAAAGGGGCACCATATTTATGCTAACTATGTAACAATTAAACTAGCTATTCTAACTATGCACCATACTAACTATACACCATTACTAAATATACACCATACTACTAACTATACACCATACTAATTATATAAATATGCACCGTACCATCCTTTTGAACTATAGTTACACTTTTTGAGAGAGAAGACGAGGGAGCGTGACCATTTCCTTTGACAGAGAGAGAGAGGTGGCATAGGAGAAAGAAATGCAGAGGGAGAGAGAGAGGTGTATGCAGAGAAAGAAATAGAGAGAGAGAGAGCAAGGGTGCGGGGTGACCACGGATCTCTCAAAGGAACACAGAAGAGCAAACAAGGTGAACTTCTTCTGAATCAAAATGGTGCTGTGTTTTTTAAGCAAATGGTGAACTTCTTATGAAGAAAATCAGATGGGAATGGTGCTGTATTTTTTAATCTGATGGGTTGATCAGGTTTAGGGAAAAACCCTTTGTATGTTTTTCGTTAGTTTATTTTTCCTAATATGTTCTCTGAGCTATGCTAATTTGGGGATTTTTGAGTTATGTTAAAATTGGGAATTCTT